TCTGGAACAAAGTTTCATGGGTCACTCATCCGTTTTTTATTAAATCTGAAACAATTTTCTTTCAAAACTTCATACCAGAGTGCATTGTTCCAGTGGGATTTTTTCTTGCAAAGCAGACTGATGAAAATGTGATGTTTCTTTGCCTCAGTTGCAAGACTTGGTTTATCAGTCCTCTCCATTGCCTGCCAAAACTTCAAAGCCAACTGATAGTATCACCAGCTATAAAAAACCAACTTACAAAAATGCAGCCTCCTTATTTGTCATCTTCTGCTCATATTCTGGTTAGTGGTTTTCATGTCAGCTGTGCATACTTCTGTGTTGCATTCCATACTGTTCTGTGGATCTCTTCATGTTTCCTAGAAATGCTTTCCTGACCCTCCCTGAGTAGGAGGTGCTTTTCCCATGTATCCTACCTTCAAACAGGGCTGCAGGTCTTGCTGGCTTCTTTGAACACCCTCAGCCCTTTGGAGGAAGTCTTTAGCACTCTGAGTATTCAGTGACTCTGCTCATGGATTCATCATTATTCTGTTTTATCCACACCATTTAGGGACTACTCTGTTGTCCTCCACAAGCAGAAGTACCCAAAGAAATGGCTTTGTTTTGCGCCAGTGACTGTTCTTTCTCCAGTGGTCAGAGCTGTTGCTCCTACCCAGCATTTGCTCTTCAGATCCCAACCATTCCATTAGTACACACATCTACAGAGGCAGTCAGCAAGGCCATGGTAAACAGCTCACAGCTGGTATGTCAAACAAGAACACAATTTACACATTTTTGCATGGTTTCATCATCTGCAACATAGAGGATTATCGGTGGCCTGTCAGTCTGAAACACCAAGGAACATATTTGAATTAAAAGATAGGTTAAAAAAACTATTCAGTTATAGATCATGCATCATTACCAATAACAGTAGTATTTCAAGCATTCTTCCCTGCATACAACTTTTTAAATAGATGTATAACTTGTGGTGAAAGCACTTGATTTGCTCATATAGTGACTGCACAATGACACCTCACTCAAAACCATTAACCTGAATTTTCAATTTCATTCTTTTTGATGGCATTGCAATGCTTGATCAAATGTGACCCTTTTAAATTTGAAATCTTCTCCACTTTGCCTTTCTGTATTGCACTGTCCTGACCAATTAAGACAGTGTTGTCAACACAAATACAGATCTAGGTTCGGTTGATACTGTGACAACTTTTACTCACAGTTCTGTACCAGGAGTGTACAAAATCTCTTGAGGACAGAAACAGTGGTACAGAGTCTGGTGGTGGGTTTGGTTTCTGCTTGTTTGTTTGGGTTGCTTGTTTGTTTGCTTTGTGGTTTTGTTGACTTGCTTAGGTTTGTTGGTTTGGTTTTGGTTTTTGGTTTTGTTTTTTTTTTTTTTTAATCAGGGAAAGAAACATCATTCTTTCAAGTCTAATTCTAGTTCCTTGGTAGCAAGTATCATGTGTGTTGAGTTTGATATTGAAGATACATACTCCATAAAGAATGACATAAAATATTCATCCTGAGTTCATAGGAAAATTAAAAACTGCTTAAACTGGTCCATACAGAAGATAAGGTGCTCAGCTGCTCATGCTTTTTTAATCTGTATAAAACTTATTTGCAGATAAGCTAACTGTTCATGGTCACCTTTAGCTCACATTTCCTACTTCAGATGGCTGTGAACATCCTGAAGTATCCACTTATTTGGACCTTCAGAGCAATGGTACATGTTTGCAGCTTCAGCATCTTCCATGGAATCGCTCCTGCCACAGATGCTCTCAGGCATTACAACATTTTTGGCTCTGATACATTATTGTTAAAGAAGGACAATAAATGATGCAGAGAAAATTACACTTTGTGAAATGCGCAGACCAAGTTTTTAAAACAGCGGGGAGGGGGATTTAACTGTACACATGTATTCCTCATGCCTAGAAGTTCTGATCTTGTAAATATAGAGGAAATCAGGCACTTCCTCAAAACCTGAAGAGGAAACATGATCAGATCTATTAAAAACAAAGTTTCAGGAGTGCTGATCACCCTTGACTGAATGCTGGAATTACCATATAAGCCATCACTCATCCTCAAATTAGAATGAACAAACCGCTAAGAATGTGATTGAGGGGATCATCTTTCAGCATAAAAACTATTTCACATTGCTTAAACATGTGAGTGTCCTATTTCTTGGTATTCAATAGATATGATTTATGATGACATTACAGTATTTTTAATGAAAGCAATACTATTAATATTAAAATATTGAAAAACTTTAGGGAAGGGTCACTAACATTTTGCTACTTGAAATATGTCAAATTTCCTGGCCAGCTGCCACAGGAAGTGTTGTTTACCTTACTACACCTTAATAGACAGTAGATCCCCTGCTGTCAGATGCGACCTTTCTCTGTTGTTCAAAATTTAGGGGACACCAACAGTACTTTGAACAGCTGGTGAGCATGGCACAGACCCCATAATCTGAAACAAGATAGTAAAGTTTGTCATATGCTTTGGTGCTCTTCAAAGCAACAGAACTGACTTCTACTACAACAGGTGATTTGTTTCAATTTTCAGATATGTTTTAAAAGCTTCTTCTGACTTAAATATAAGCCTCCTGTATCTGTTCAAGGTCAGGATTTGATCTGTGCTATGGCCTGAAAAGAAAACTCTGCCTGGCTTGCCGTGGTCAGAGTGCCTGGTCAGTGTCTGGGACTGCCTGCATCTTCAGCTCCAGGAGCATGTCATTCAGATGTCTTAACTTTGCAAAGTCCAGCAGAAGGGATAAACTAATATTTGTACCGGAAGCTCCTCACATGTTTTGTACTGCATGCAAATATTTTCCCACTTCTAACATTCCCTGGTATATATTTTTCCACCAGGAGGGGAATGTCCAGTTGTTTCCTTCACCCATCAGTCACTTTGTGAGATTATAAATTATTTGAGAGAAAAAAGTAGTTAAGCAACACTTTTTAAAACATTTATTCTAAGTCATAACTATTGTGGGTTTATTATGTGTTAATGGAGGAAAGGAGCAGGTTTGAATTCTCCACTGAAAACATGAGAAAATAAATTGTGTTTTACAAACATGAACTGTAAACTTTGAAACATATCCCGCACTGTTAATAAGGGCAACTTTCCCATGGGTTGAGAACTTCTCAGAACTGAGAAGTTCTGTCTCTTTTCACAGATGTGGAACGAAATACCTCAGTTTTAACTTTGCCTGTGCATTGTTTTGAGGAGTTGAGTGGATGAGAATGGCTTTACTGAACAGTGTTGAGGATGAACAAAAAAAATTTGAAAACAGGACATGGAAAGGCCTTCTTAATTTTCTAAAATATCTCTGCTCTCCTTGCCATCATGTCCTTCTCTGCAGTGCTGTCTTGGCTATTCTGATCTTTCTGGAAGCACATTCTTCTTACCTTGTCTCCTTAGTGTGTCAGTGATTCTTCTGTGGAATGGATCAGCTCTTTGGACTGGCACAACAAACTCTTTCCCAAGCTTGCAATGTCAACAAGAAGGAAAAGATACTTTCCTAAACACTTGAATACAGTTTCTGTGAAATATTTAAGTGACATGCAGCAGGTCATGCTTGTTGGAGGGCAGTTAGTTCAGGGCTGCAGGTCCAGCAACATCCAAGGAGTTGGCTGGAGGTTATTGTAAAGCCTTCATAGGAGAGCAATATGATGGATGTTGCATAATATGTTAGGAGAAAAGAGAGAGGCTGCTGATGTGCAAGATGAAGAGTAAAGTTAAGTGAGGCATGTGCAAGGGTGATGGGTTAAGTGAAAAGAGTGCAAAGGCCTGAACAGGGAAACAGAAATAGTCCCAGGGTGGGAGTGGTGAGGACCCGGGTAAACGAAAACCAAATGAGAAAAGAAGCATGGAAACGGAAACACACAAGTCAAGCTGTGTGAAAAAAGAAAAGGGAGATGGGTGAGTCAGCACCCGAAGACAACGTGTTGTGAAGCTAATGGACAACAGCAGCAAAGGCATTGGGACAGGCGTCAGATGAGGCAAGAAGAGTGGGAAGCAACCAGTGGAACAGGCTGTCAGAGGGTATTCCCTCAAGTGACAGGAAAACAGGTAACAGTCTTCTTCTGGAATCTGAAATTTTCACATTGCAGTGCAGTGGCTCAGAGCTGTTCCCTAGACCTGGAGCAGCCAGCCCTGCTGTACCCAACATGAGGAAAGGAATTTCCCCTGTATTCTGTATAGGACAACCAGAAAAGTTATTTATCTTAATTAACAACTAAATTAGCAGGAGATACATTCTTTAGAGTAGGTTATTGAGGTGAAATTTTCTTTAAGTCTGGTGACCAAACAGACTGTAATACCTAATCAAATGCCTTGATTTTGCAAACAGAGATGTTTGTGGAACATGACTCTTGTGCAGACTACAAGCCGCAAGAAATTATCTTGGGTTCAAGACAATGCAGTGGGTGTTTGTTGAAAGTAAATTAAAAGGGGGGAAAAAAAAGGGGAAACACTGCCTGTAATCCTATTTACAGTGTCTAAGTCAATGGAGCCCAAGAACCACTGTTCCTGGCTTCTACTCCTGTTAATGCATGGCTCATCGTGATTTAGAAAAGGAGCTGTAACTGAGAAAAAACACCCGGAAATTTTACAATGTGTCATTTTTCAATCTTGCTGGCAATCTGGCCCCAGCTGGCAAACCCTTTAAGTATGTGTTTTAACGGCAACACAGGATTAATCCTATTGATTGTAATGGGGTTAACTATGTACGGACAGCACAGTGATGTTTATAGCCTCAACTGAACTGTAAGAATGAGACTCTGAACTATTTATTAAAAACTCACTTTGGTCGCGCCTTTATGTGAGAAAGATTTTTCAGACTCGATCATCCAACACAGATTTCCCTCGAGAACAGATAACACTCTAACCACAACCCCTGCACTCCTCAGTGACCCCTCCATTTTCTCATCTTTTCTCCTGCCACTGTGGTAAAAGATGTAGGAATATTTGTGTGGTTTTGGTTTTTTGGGGTTTTTTTCGGCCGGTACATGGGGAGCCCCCATCACCGGCCCGACGGTCGCCTCCGGACCAGAGCTTTCTGCAGCCCCGAGCTGCCGCCCTGCACTGAGACACGGCCGGGACCACCGGGAAGCCATTCGTCTGTCCGAGCAGCGCCGGTATCCCTCATTCCCGGGGGCTCCTCGGCATCCAGCATCTCCCGCCCACCCCCGCCGCCGCTACGGCCACCCGCAGGGGCATGGGGAGCGGCTGCTCGGCTGCCCGCCGTGGCGTTTCCCCCGCGGGCTGCTGAGGCAGACGGGACGGGAGCAGCCGGCAGCCTGCCCGGCCCGCCGGCTCCGCTCCTCGCACGGGGCCGGTGTCCCGGGGCCGCCCGCCCCGCCGGAGCAGCCCTTGGCCGAGAGGCTTTCCCGGGACGGGGGGGAACCCGACTCCCCTGGCCCGGCTCGTCCCGCCCTCGGGCGCGCTCACTCCCCCGCCCCGTAAGTAGCGGCGGCCGCGGCCGTCGGGGCGCAGAGCGGCGGGGATGGGGACCCGCGGCGGGGGGCTCTACGTGGGGCGCAGGGCGGCCCCGCGCCCCCGGCCCCGCCGCCCCTCCGCCGCCCGCTCCTGCGGCCGGCTCCGTTCGCCGCCTGCCCCGCCACCTCCTGCCGCTCCACTACGACCTGGAGCTGTGGCCGCGGGTGCGGCCGGGCCAGGCCGGGCCCTTCGCCTTCACCGGGCAGGTGAACATCACGGTGCGCTGCCTGCAGGACACGGACGCGGCGGTGCTGCACAGCGCCGGGCTGCGGAGCCGCGGGGCCGCCGCCGTGCGCGGGCCCCTGTCCGAGCCGGGCGCCGCCGTGGAGGTGGCGGGGCTGCGGCAGGAGGAGGCGGCCGAGGTGGCGGTGCTGGAGCTCCGCGGGCGGCTCCGCGCCGGGAGCCGCTACGTGCTGCAGCTGGGCTTCCAGGGCCGGCTGGAGGAGGACCTCGACGGGCTCTTCCTCACTCGCTACACCGACCGGGGGCAGAGCAGGTAGGCGGCGGCGGCCGCTGCGGAGTGCCCGAGCCCCCGCGCCGACGGCAGCGGCGGTGCCGCGGGTCTGCGGGGGCTGGCACCGCGCCGGGCGGAGCCCTCGCTGCCGGGAGCGGGAGAGGAGCCTGACTGCTCGGCGCGGCGTGAGCTCCTCCCGGAGCGCACCCCGGGCTCCGCGGGTGTGCCCAGCCCGGCCGCTCCGGAGAGCATCGGCCAGGCTGCCCTGGCTCTCCGTCGGCAGGTGACTTCACCTGCAGCACCGGCTGGACAGCCCCTGGTCTCTCAGTGCCTTTGGCTGCAGCGAGGGGATCAGGCAGTACCTGTGCCCGGTGCCCGGAGATGGAGCCCGTGTCGGAGCCTTCATCCCGGCCCCACACGTGTCCGGGTAGCGCTGACAACTCCCCACCTCCCCAGCCTGTGTCTGTGGGGAGCATGTCTGCCTTTATCAAGAACCAGGGATTCTGGCTGTGTGTTTGGGCATGAGTTTAGCGACGCTGACCACATGCAATTTCAAAAGCATGGCGGAGAAGGATGGGTGCCTTCTTTAAACAGCCGTGCCTTCCTTGTAGGGGCTATTGCCCATGAACTTGTTCAGCTGTCACCAGACAATCCGTGATTTGCTTTGTGGGTGCTGTCAGAATGCTTTCCTTCTCTCTTGAACTGCCAAATCAGTGCTGGGACAGTGTAAGCTTATTGGGTAGTCAATCGTCTAAAACATTTTCACCCTCAAAATAATATTTTTCGTTTTCTTTTTCTTTTTCATTTCTGGATGTGAAACCTGCTAAAGAGAAGTGGAATTAAATATTAGAATTTAAGTGTTCCACTGGAAGACAAGTTTCTCAAAATAGGAGTTTGAAGAAGAAGCAGATGAATTGCTGGCTTTAAAGTTATTTATTTTTTAATAATTGAAGATGTTGTGATTTGCGGGGCAAACACCAAGTCACAATGACAATTTGAGTATTCTTGGCTCTTGTCTATGAGTCCACTAAAATAAATTCTGTCTCAGTTGTTCATAGGCTTCTTGTTTGAGCAGGTAAAATTCAATCACAAGATCTACCCATTCAAGTCTCTGTTGAAGTTGCTCTGTAGTAGCAGTAAAATGAAATCACAAAATGAAGTTAATAATTTTTACTGACATAGGGGAGGACTGTGTGGCTCTTCTAAACAAGCTGGCTTTTCAGCTGCCAGCTCTTGTGTAAATCTTGATACCATTGTCTGCCACATCTGGAAAATGCAGCTTATTCAGGACTTTTTTTTTTCTTTTTTTTCTTTTTGAAGAAAAAGTTATAATTTGGTAAGCCTTAGAGAAAAGTGCAGTATGACAATAAGTATTTGAGGAAGCACATTCTGGTTTTTTTAATTGCTGTTTCTTCATTCACTGATTGTTGTTCGCAGGATTATTTGTGTAATTTAAGGAAAGAAAAATGTAGATTTTTTTATTTATATGGTTTTATAAAAATCCAAATTAGAAAGAAACAAGTACTTAATTACTTAATTCTGTGCCATTGATATACTCTGATGCAGTATTAACTCAATGAAGTCTTATCTAAGTGATGCCTAAAGATTTTTGGGTTTTAAGTATTTTTCATATATTTGTAGCTTTTTAGACCATTTATATGTGGTTATAGAGATCCTGGTATTTTCTCTGCTCTTTCTCTTACATTTTAGAGTAATAAGCTAACCTTCTAACACATCCTGAAATTCTGTTTAGTCTTTTTTCAAGTAGAGGACCTACAAGAACATTTCTTTTTTTTCCCAGTCAGAATCTGAGAAGACATGACAAGAAGTGGGGCAAAGAAGCCCTGGACCAACACCAATGGGAGTACCCAGGGGAAAAATTACCTTTCCAGCTGCTCTTCTAATTGGACAATGTTTGTTATGTCCATATAATATGACAACAAATATGATAATTTATTAAACTTATAAAAATTGTAGAAATCTGATACTGGCAAGGCCACAGACCATAACTGTGGAGGCACCTAGAAGCTTCCAGTAAAGAACTGCATTTTTATCTTACCATCTTAATACTGTTGCAAGTAGTAAGAAGTCAATGTAAGAAACACTGAATTAGATGCTGATTTTCTTTTGATTCAGGCTGTATAATGTTCAGAGTATCTGAGAAAAAAATAGCTGTCATCAGCCTTGCTGGAACAGTATAAAATAAGAAAAAAAGTTTTTAAATAATTCAAATAATGTGTGTAATTAAGTTTCCAGTTGTCTAGAGAGTTTGTGACCAATTCTCCTTTTCATTCTTAGCTCATCACAAAGCAATAATGAAATGTGAGATTGCAGTCTGGTTAGAAAGATGACAGTGGTATTTAGACAATGGAGTAAATCAAAGAAAATCCACTGAGTGCAGATGTAATGTATTGATTTTTTATTTGTTCCTGCACACATAGCTGATATTATTGAATGATTTTGCTCTTTTTTTTTTCTTTAAAAAAGGTTTTCTCTGAATCAAGGGTATGCAATAGTATCTTGTTATTTTTCCTTCACTAAGATTTAGGTCATCACTTTACCAGCCGTTTCCTAACCCGATGGGTTCCAAAAACACTGAAGGGGTTTTGCTTGGAGGAGATACATTTTGAATGATTTGTAAGGTCTGTCAAGATATTAATGATGTAAAAAGTTCTAATTCATTAGAATTACATAGAGGAGGAGTGATATAAAAACTTCCAGTGCCCTTCAGCTGTCAGTGCAAAGCCAGTCACTGTTCTGCAAGGAAACTTTCCCTCTAGCAGACTGTCCTGTAATTTTTCTAAAGTGACTCATACCAGTCCTCAGCAGACCCTGGGTCAGTTTCCTGCAGAGACTTTCTGACCTCAGCATCTCACTGAAACCAGCAGCTGTAATAGGAAATGTGATGTCTGTCTACAGTCATGCAGTCCTGTATTTGTCTCTGTGTGTTATATAGAATTTTCATCAGCTGTAGCATGCTGGATTAATCTTATTTGTATTTTCAATACAGTATGCTCATTGCCTCCCAAATGGAACCAACACATGCCAGGAGAGTTTACCCGTGTTTTGATGAACCTGCCATGAAGGCCACATTTAATATCAGAATTATCCATGATCCAAGCTATGTGGCTCTTTCCAACATGCCTGCTATTGGTGGGTAAACAACAACTTGATGTATGTTTTTTTCTCCCTCTACGTTACTTTTAAGAAGGGTGCAATTCATCTGAGAAGTTTATGTCATCCAAAAAAGTGTTCTGTTGTCCATTTGCTAGTGCCTTCAAAAGGCACAGAAAATCTATGCCTATGGCCTTAAAAGCTTTGGCACTGTTATTCATAATTAACATCTCTGATGGAACCATTCTGTTGAACAATTTTATCAGTTGTGGTGTGCTGTCCTCTGCCTGCTGAGGCTGCACAGTGTTTGATTTCTGGTATTTGTTAGTGTGTCTGTCGTACTGTGTGACATCATTTAAAAGCAAAATGGCAGCCCCAGGAAAGCAAAGCTGTATTTGTGACATCAAGGGATTCCTTTAATTCTCAATAGATGTAAAGATATTTATGGCAAACAAAAATATTTTTTCCAGGCAGAGACATTCTAGCCTACTGTGAATGTGCAGAAGAAGAACAAGAGACTATAAGGCTCTGGAGACACTCCTTCTGTCCCTTGCTGGGATCTCAAGTGGGATATCTGTGGAGTATAAGATTCTAAACAAATTTTCTAAATTAGTATTCCTAGAGAAATCCATTGGGTCTCTGGTCTCTTTCTTAAAAACTCTTTTTTGCAGTTCAATGCCATGAATCTTTATTTTTCAACTAAATAATTTTCAGCTATTGTCATGGTTCTGTGAAACCACTACAGCCATAAAAGAAAGTTTTATGACATTTGGATGGAAACTAAGTCACTTAGGAATTATAATAGGTGGGATTGCTGTGAGAATCACTGGAAGCATTTTCTACCCCAAAGAATTGTGCCTATGTCCTCCTTACTTAGAGGGAAGGTATCTGATTAAGTATTTAATAATTCTTAGGCAGACCTGACCAATATTTTGGTCATAACAGGTTGTACATTTTAGATAGGTAGCATGGGATAAATTGTCCTCAGCTTGCCCATAACTTAAAATTGATGGAGTTTGAGATCCTTCCAAGACTTCAGTCAGGAAGCCCAAGAGTGAATTTTTGCTGCTTGCATGGAAGGTCATGGCTCTGGTACGTGTCAGTAGCAACAAGTCTACAAGTCTGGCTGCTTTCCTTCTCCCAGAAACACATCAGTTAGTGCAGGAATACACCATATGGAAGAAAGGGGTAAAAAATAAACATGCAGAAAACACATAATTCCTTGTTTGTTGTGGAAGAACTTTGGTTTAAATATGTCTTTGGCTTTTTCTTTCTAGATGTATCTGAAGTGAAGGATGAAAATGGAAGCCTGTGGACAATTACCACATTTAACACTTCACTGAAAATGTCAACTTACTTGACTGCTTTTGTGATTTGTGATTTTGATTATGTCAACAGAACTGAGCGGGGAAATGAGGTACATATGAGGCTGCCTGACACATTATAGGAATTTACAACAGAAGTTGGCCCTCTGGTGCATCACATGGTTTGAGGACATCACAGACATCGACTGTGCTAAATACTCTTCCCAAACTATCTGCTTATGTTGCAAAACTGCTAACATTTGTCCCATAGATATTTCTGCAGAAAGTTTCTTTTGGGACAATTAAGTTGTTGTCTTATCCATTCTGTTTGATACAACTGCACAAGTAGGTATGGCCTATGTATGTTAAAATACAGGAGGAGATACTTTGCAGAAAGTACTGGTTATAATTCACAATCTTCTTTATTTCTTAGGTGACTTAGTTGGAAAACATACCCATTTCTAGTGCTGTGACAAACCACTGATGTTCATTGCCTTGTTCCTCAAGGTCTTTTGAGAGCCATATGGTGACATCAGGAGTAACACTGTGCTCCAAACATTTTGTATACTAGTACATTAACCTTCTATTCCACAGTATGCACACTTTTTAGCCTCCAAAAGTGACTGTTTTGGGTTTGAGATTACTTCATCTGAGTATTCTGTATTGCTGTTAGACTAAAATGGCCAAAGCTTGCTGAGAGAAGCTGTAAAACAATGTACTGCACGGGCAGCAGTTGTTTCACTTCCTTTCTTTCGTTCAAAGTCAACAGGGAAAAGATGTATCAAGTTTTTCCAAAATAAATACAAAGTTCAAGCATAAAGCTATTAAAGATAGATTTACTTATCTCCTTATTAAATGAGAGTACTTCATGGTTACTTTGCTCTCATCCTACTGAGGAAAGGTGGGACAATGTAAATGGAGAGTGCAGAGATTGTCTAAAAAGCACAGTTTGGGTCTTTTTTTAAGGGAAGATTGAATTGGGTAAGTCAGACCTGCCATTTCTTTTGTTGAACTTGTTGCATACTTTCAGGTATGGTGGTGGTGGCTTTTTCTTGGGCCTAATTCTTGGACTGAGGAATCAGCAGAGCAGAGTATTCAAAAGAGCTGTTTTTCAGAGGGAAAAGGCACCGCCTGTGTTCTGTGACATTGAGTGAAGAGGGTATTTCACCCCTAGGTTTTGGACAGAGTTTCTCAGTTTCTGCCTCCACAGTATTTGTGTGAGCATGTTTCTTGTGCCTGTTTTGATGTTTCTGGTAACCTGAAACATTCAAAGCTCATACTAGGATTAGGATTTTAAGATGCTAGTTGTGTTAAGGTTTTGCAAAATTAAGTGGTTGGGTCTTTGAACGTCTTCTGAAGCCTTGGCTGAGAAGAGGGCCTCTGTTGACTGAATATGCTTATTTTTTTTGCATTGTGAATTAAATCCTGATGCTTCCTAAGCATGCTCTTAGGGTTTGACTGTGCAGCTTCTTGTGAGATCATGTGTTGCATTTAGATGCAAAAAATGTGAAGGTTTTGAGCTGCTGGACACCTGGCATGGCATCTCTTGCTCAGACATACATGGTGGAGGCTGCTCCATCACTTTTGGCCAAGCAGCTGCTCTTTTCAGTATGGGGACAAAGTCAATGGGCACAGGAGAGAAAAGATTTCTTGCTGCTGTGGTTTTCATTACTCAGAGGTATGGATGTCATCTGCTCAGATGTCATCTGCTCTCCCCAGCCAAGGGGAGGCCAGAAGTCTCAGAGAAAGTTCAGGAGATATGTGCATGTTAAGACTCCAAATGCTCTCTGGACATCTTTTTGTCTCTCTTCAGGTGGACTAAATGCAAGCTTGTCACCCAGACACTCTCACTAGAATACATTGGTTTCAGATGTGTAATGCTAAATAGTTTTACAGTGTTTTCCACTTAAGAAAATAAAAGCTATGATTTAATTTGTTCCTGCAATGTATAGTTGCAGTTGTAGTTCAAATTTTTGTCCTTTTGAAGTACTGGAACTCTCTGAGATTTTAGCAGGATCAGGGTCTGTGCTGCTTTTTGTTAGGTCCAGTAAAACTTCAGCTGGATTTTTTAAATTAAAGGCTTCGTTGTATGGTGTGGTGTGAACAGACAGAATTTTTCCAACAATGACTCACAGAAGAGAAGCAAAGAAGATTAAATGTAAGGGTTGTTTGAAATAATTCTTCCTTGTTTTATTGCAGATACGTATTTGGGCCCGGAAGGAGGCAGTTAAAAATGGGTATGTTGACTATGCTTTAAATATCACAGGACCAATGTTTTCATTTCTGGAAGACATACTTAATGTCAGCTACCCTCTGCCAAAGACAGGTGAGAAGACTTATTTTCTGGAATGGATCAGAAATGGCTGCTGATGGTGCAATGTTCACAGAAGCTGTGGGTTTTTTTCCCAGGGTTCTCCTTTTACAGCGTACCACATTCATGGAATAAACCCCCTAAACTTTAAATGACTGACTTATTCTTTCTGTCTCATGGCTTTTATTAACCTGTGACTCAACACTCTTACCTTTGCATTCCACCCATTCTTTTAAAGCCAGATTTCCCAATAAAAGGGGTTGGACAATAAAGTGGATAGAAAGGTGTGGTTCAGTCACATGAGCTGTCTTTGGGATCATGCACCACAACATGAAAGGATGTAGTTCCTATGTGCTCCTAGTAAATCCTAGTAAAATGCTGCTTGTATGTAGCCTGTGTCCCCACAGAGCATTCCTGCTTTCTTCAATATCTTCCTGTCTTGCCTTGGGTATGTTCCTGCACATTCCTCCCCAGAAAATCTGGGAGGATTGCCCTGCAGGAAAACATTGTTTCTACTTTAAAAGGATATTGGGTAAGTTGGTTCAGTCAAACTCTATTCAAAAAACCCCAATGACACCATGTAGTTTCACTGTACAGTTTGTTTGCTACTTGTCCTTGGATTCCCAGGGGCTTCAGCATTAATATTAGGGGAAAATGGGTAGAATATTGAGAAGACAGCAAACAGTTCGTATCTAAAATTTTTTTTGGACCTGCCAATGATTTTAGAGGACTGCAGGACTGGAGGAAAGGAATTCCCCTCTTTTCTTGACTGGATAGTTTGTTGATTGGTCAAATCTGTATTTTGGCACTTGAAAGAAGTAAATTTAAATATGTGTGAATTTATTATCTCCCAGTATATTTCTAGTAACTTGTAGAATTACTCACTACACTTGTTTTGGAAAATGCAATATATGTTGTCTACACTCTTCAAATTTTCTTGTTGTAGTAATCTTACAAGCTAGTCAAGGGTTGTAGAATATTCTTTTTCATGATTGTGTTCTTGCGTTTAGCAGTAATGTTGATACATTAATTTATTAGCATAAAACTATTACACAACAGAAGTAGAGGAACAGTGTTGTAGACTTCCTTCTAGGCAGGATTTCAGTTTCAGAGAGGGCTGTAATACCATTACAATCCCCACTATAAGACCACACAATATCCACTGGATTTCCCAGTGTCTTTCTTGGAAGTTTCACTTTAAAAAATGGTAAAATTAGACCAATCAAGAATGCTTTCCTGTGAAAAATGCAAGAGATTTCTATTTCAAACTCCAAATGTGAAATTAAGAACAAGCACATTTAAACCCTTTAAGGATTAAACGTGCTTGTTCTTAAATTCACATTTGGGGGTCTTTAAGTCTGTCTACACCTGATTTTAGTGCCGTTGTAAGTGAGGTCTCCTGCCCCAAGGCTGGATAAGGGCTGCCTCACCAGAAGTGAAATACCTTTGCTGTAAGATAGAGGCAAAAATCCCAATTGAGATGCAGCCTACCTGTAAAGAGATTCAGCACCATGCCTGCCTTGCTTTTGGACTGCAGCTTCCTTGTGGTCAGCTGCTGATAAATGTTCTGTATACCTTTTCCAAATTTTGATTTTTGCTTCTGAGTTTAAACAGTATATTTTTCCTTGAGTCCCTGAAGTTTTGTCTGGCTCTCACATTTGAACTGGAAAACTAATGCCTGTGCATAAGGCAGAAGGGGCCAGACAGAGGTGACAGTCTTACTTTGTAAATAAAGAGATGATGTTTCTAAGGCACTTTTCAAACAAGAGTGGAAAAGATACCTCTTCTCACACAGTTGAAAGAGCAAGACTTCTTTTTTTATCAGTTGCTAGGCTGGAAAAAAAGGTAATAATTATCCTACCCAACCACAGGAGAAACCCACAGAGAAAGATTTCTGACAGCCAACAGTGAACATATATTCTCTTCTAACCTCCATTTTTATTGAGAACATTTCTAGGTAGAAAATACAGCACAGATCTGGGCTTTGTGGGAATTAATTATGTGGCTTCCTGAAAGAATGGCATCATAGGTGAAAAGCATGACAATAAGAAATTTCAGTGATCATTTGCAAGTTTTGCTCTAATGCCACAGAGAAGCAGCACCATGTAGTATCTTTCAATGGGGTACTGAGCTAGTGTGAGCTAGCATTAAAATTGTGAGCATTTTATTTATGAAAATGTTTAAGATAACTTTTTTTGTGTGTGCGTCTGTTTGAATCAATTTAGATCTGGTCGCATTGCCTGACTTTGGAGCAGGTGGTATGGAAAACTGGGGGCTAATGATTTTCCAAGAAGCATCATTGATGAACCTCCCAAGTGATGAATTCACAAACAGGAAGGCAATGATTGCCTTAATTTTGTCGCATGAACTAGGACATCAGGCATGTGGTAAAAAGTTCTGTACATGTATTTGGCTATGACATTGTTTCCTCATGGTTATTGATTAATAGAACCAAAATAATCACTTAAGAGTAGAGGGTGTGTTTGAACACTAGAGAGCTGAAAGCCTGTTTGATCATACATTCTGTTGATAAAGCAGTGTTAAAAGTAGGTTCTCTCATCTTGCAGACTGCATACTTATTGTTCAGGACTCATTGATAGGGAGCTGTTAATGGGATATTTGGTTTTTTCTTTCACAGTGCTTGAATGCCATGAGAGAAGATACTGTAGGGATGTAGGGATGACAGTACTGTCCATATAATAAATATAGTATTTTGTTAGGACACTCATACTGAGTTCATCCTTTTGTAGTGGCAGGGCATGTACATACTGCAAGGGGTATTTGTTTTTCTGTAAGACACAGCCCGTAGTAGAATAGAACAAAATTAACATGAACATACTTTGCACTGGATCTTTGCCCAGCTTTCACAGAGATTTCCGAATTCTTTCTTACTTTATTTGGAATGATAATACAGTTGCACTTCCTTACTGACAATGTTTAATTTCCTGTTATTTGCCAGAGCAACAACTCTTTGCACTTAGTCAGTAAAATTAGCAAAAAAAAGCTTACCTTGGCTAATGCACTTTCATGCCTTTCTGACAAGGTCTGTAACTTTGCAGACCTTCAGATGACAGAGTGTTTTTATTGCAGGCCAATTAGATAAATGTCAGTGGTTAACTGAAATCTATTTTACAATACACTGTAGTTCTGTTTTTTAAGAATTAGCAAATAAAATAGAAATCCAGAAATTAGCAGTTTTTTGTTAAGTATTAAATGCAGATATGAGTACACAGTAGCTGTTTTGGAAGACTTGTACTTGCCATGGGAGGGATTTGCTGGTTTTGGAAATGGCTATTTCCCCAGTTTTGTGTATCATTCCTTTGACAATCTCTCTTTGTTAAGAGCATGGAAAAGTGATTTTGTAATTGCTTGATAAATACCCTACTTTTACTCATAGCCTGGTATGATATTTTAGAAATTTAACTTATATTCAGAAGTCTTTAAAAGTAAATTTTCCAAAAGAATGACATAATGCCCTGAGATAGACCCTCATGGTTTGAAATTGTAGATGAAACAATTTAAAAATTACTGCCCTGAACCTCTGACTTTTTCTAAAGTACCTATTTTTCTACTGAACTTTCACTACCTGAAGGAACATTCAGCATTTTGTTAAATTTACACGTAGACATTAAATAAAGTTACTTCCGCCTATATATGTGTCTTTAACCTGCAAAAGTTGTTTAACCTGCAAAATAAGTGAAAACAGCGCTCCAAGGAGATTTTGAGATCTTTTTCTTTCAATTTAAGTGGTTTGGAAATCTGGTTACAATGAACTGGTGGAATGATCTGTGGCTTAAAGAGGGCCTGGCATCTTACTTTGAGTACCTGGGAGCTACCTTTGTTGAACCCAAGCTTTCACTGGTAAGTGCCAAAGCTCACTAGCCAAGTTCCATAATGTAAAAAGGAAAGGAAGGTCTAGGAGATGCGAGTAAATTAAACACTGCTATTATAAACTTCACTCCTGGGGGAAAGACCAGTAGGTCTTGATCCTTTCCCTGCAGGTCTCCATCTGTGGGGGCACCGTGATGATATCCAGCCCTCTACAGCTGGTGCAGAGAACAGGTGAACAGCTGGGATTCCATAGTGGCAAGGAGTGGGTGTTTGGCCCTAGGTCTGTCATGTAGCAAACCCAGATTTCTCTCCTGGGTCCTGGGTTGTAGCTGATGGTTTTCCTCCTCACCTGCCACTCTCTTTTCTAATTTTCCCAGTCCTGAGGTATCTTTACTAGGCAGAGATTGGGTTGGGCCATTTTGACTCTGCTTACCTCACTGGGTGTCTGGATATCTGGTAGTAGATAAGACAAATACAATGCACATTGCTAATCCAACAGCAGGGTAGAATTCCTTCCCATTCTGTCCAAATGGGAATAAGCATAAATCCCATAGCATATTAGAAGACACCATCCATTGTTAAACTGAGAGACAGATGGATAGGGGCTGCTAATTGCAGGCATGAAATGAGGTGCACTTGCCCATGCAGTCTTAAATTGTGTGGTGCCATCAGCTTCTGAAGGACCAGGGTGCTTTTTATTTGGGTCAATTGAAATATCAGTTGTCAATTGCCTTTTTACATTCACCAAATCTCTTAATTACATGTTTGATTGGAAACTAATAAAGGCATGCCAAACAATTTCTGTCAGGAGGATTTCTAGGTCATGGGATATGCCTACCTTCTTTGAACTTTAACAACAGCTCACTTTATTCTCTGCAATGCAGTGTATTGAATATACCACTGAAAAGTTTAAAGGTATGAATACACCACTGAAAAGTTTAAAGGTCTCAGAATTTTAAATTGGAAATAAATACTTGACTTCTTTTTAATGTAAACATTTAATTTAGAAGCTTGCCTTTCTGAAAATCAGCAGTTGTCATTTGTGTCCATAAAGTAAATTTTAATACTGGGCAATAATCCTGTTTGATACATTGCAGTTAGGTAAAGTGCCTTGGGAATGCAGAATTAATCACACAGGTGTAAGAATATAGATCTTTCTTGAAGTTTTGTGGGTCATAAATGTTCACGGAGTCACAGAATGGCTGAGGTTGGAAGGCACATGTGGAGGTCATCTTGTCCAGCCTCCTTGCATAAGCAGGGCCACACAAGAGCCAATTGCCCAAGACTGTGCCCAGACAGCTTTTGAAGGTCTCCAAGGATGGAGGTTCCATAACCTCTCAAGGCAGCCTGTGGAAATACTCAGTCACCTTCACAGTGAAAAAGTTGTTCCTGGTGTTCAGAGAGAACCTGCTGTGTTTCAGTGTGTGCCCATTGCCTCTGGTCCTGTCACTGGGCACCGCTGGAAAAGCCTGGCTCTGTGCTCTGCTCAGCTTCCCTTCAGGTATATGCACTGGCAAGATGCCTCTGCGCCCTCTCTTCCTCAGGCTGAGCAGTTCCAGCTCTCGTGGCCTGTTCTTACAGGAGAGGTGCTTCAGTCCCTTCCCTAGGCTGTTGACCATGGTAGGTGACAATTACTCAGGAGACATTTTCTGAGGAGCTACTTTCCTTCCCTGTTCCTCACAGCAGCAATGCCACATAGCTAAACTCTGGTACCTTCAGTAGCTTAGGTTTTAGGTTGTTGCTCCGGGTTGCAGCAGAAGAAACATGGAATTTAGGAGGAAAATGCTGCCATATTCTTAACAGAAATAAATGAAATACAAGCTTTCAGTTTTCAGTATTTGTTAAGTTGCTGTGTTAATATAGTTGACTTATTTTTGCCTGAGGATTACACTGTAACTGGCTGTCAGGCCCAAGCCCACAGTACTGTGAAGATGTAACATTTTCACTGGTCACTGATGCTGCGTGTAGAAAATACACCTACACAGGATCAGGTGTATGGTCCCTTGTTCTTCAGTAGAAAGCTAGGGAGTTGGGGAGCTTGCTTATAGACAAATTATTCATAATAGTGCTAATTCCATACTCCTCATTCTCTCCAGAGAATTAGTATCTTCTGTTCATCTCACATGACAAGATTTGTCTTCTTTTTAAGGATAAAATCTTTTATGCTCATGTTGTACAACCTGTCTTAAGGGAAGACAGTGAAATAGCTCGATCACTGTCAGAGAGTGAAGACAAGATCAAAGGATCATTTTCTTTAATGTCCCTTTTTGACAACATTACATACAGCAAGGTAAGAAAAAAGAAAATTTTTCTTGTTTCTTGCAGATTCTAAGCTAATGGTACAAGGTAGGTTTGGGAGGAACTGTTGAACAAAACTACTTTGTCATTCAAAACATATTTCTGCAGCACACACAAATTTATTGGGTGTTGCAAATCTACTTGGCTGTGAAGGAAGAGGTGAAAAGATTTTTAATCTCTGTGAAATATGAAGTGTGGGTGTAGACCAACTAGCATCTCTGGTATAATTGAAAAAATATTGCAACAGTAATTGCAATAATAATTCATTTTTTCTCATACTTTTTTTTTTTTTTTTGTACTCTAGGGGGCTTCTATAACCTGGATGCTTTCTGGTTTCCTGACTGAAAAGTTGTTCATCAGAGCACTTACTGTAAGTCTGAAAAAAAAACCCCTTTCGTCTCGATTTATAAGTTTGAAAATGCCAGTTGTATGAATTGCTTTCCTTGCTAATGGTTTTCATTGAACCTTCATGAATTCTGATGCTTCTCTTTGTTTCCTTCCAGTCCTATCTGAAAGAATTTTCCTTCTCAAATGCTAATCAAGATGATCTGTGGACCCACATCCAGATGGTACTCATTTTATGTCTCTAGTATTCTTTTCCTGATCTTTGGCAAAGTCCAATTTAATCTCCTGCATAAAATTTGCTTTGCCAGTTCTTTCAGCTAATGTCTTCTCAAGTGTTTATTTGGCTGCTTTGCTGCGCCGGAGATCAGTGGGGCTGAGTACAAGGAGTAGAGAGATGAGATAGGAAATCAGGACCAGGCAAAGTTTTGGGTTCCATGGTAGTCACACAAGCCTATGTGAAATTGCATAGCTTAGTGTTCTGGGGCTTAGTTTTTGCTAGATCAGAGTGTGTGATGCCTTGGGCTTGATGGTCAAAGATGCTGGTATGTCACAACAGAGTCTATACTCAGGGCAGTAGCTCAGCATTTCACCCTTCAATGGTTTTGGCACTGACCTGACTAAGAAAACATATGCTAATATTAGGTTATTTTTTTACAAATCCAGCTTCCTGGTCCTCTAAAGAAAGATTTTGTTGTGTTTCAGTCTCTGTCTTAAGAATGGGAATGTTAGAATTCCAGATAGGCAATTCAGATATGTTTTAAGCCAGTGAAGACTGTACCAATTCACACTAGTTTGGACTCCAGCTTAATGTCTTTCCCAATTTCTCTTCACTAATTCAGTTTGTTCATTATGGCACTCAAAAATATTTGTGTTCCATCGGTTCTATTTCAATGAAATTAACTAATCAATTCTTTCATAGCCATAGAGATGTGGTAAGTATATTAACACTGAAAAGGGAAAGTTAGCAGCAGGTTGTAGAATGAAAAATGTCATCTCAGTATTTTATAATTCCTGAAAAAGGCTTATGCCTGTATTATGTCTTTATTAGGATGTCAAAAAGGTTCCTTGGAATTTGTTACATTGATTTTTTGCATGAGCCAAAGACCAGCAAGCTGCTAAGCATTATTTTCTCTACTACATTATAAACACTTCCAGAGATTCACTGAAGCAATATCAGTAAGTACCTGTTCATCATAAGTATTTCTAATTTCTCTTTCTCTTTCAGGTTGTAGATGCACAGGATGAAGTTCAGTTGCCAGCACCTGTAAAGCAAATAATGGATTCCTGGACATGCCAAAATGGGTTTCCAGTTTTAACATTAAATCTAACTACTGGAACAATCAGACAGGAGCAGTTTTTTAATAAAAACAATAGAAAGACTACTGATTCTTACAAGTATGTTTAGCTTGTGTTTTTATTGTATGTTATACCCTGTTTCTTACAGGAAATGCTTCAGTTACAACAACATGTTCTGAGCATTTGATTTTTTAACGTGTTTTTTTCTTGTGACAAACAGTCAAGTAAAATCTGTTTGAGATTTTGCTGGACTTTGCGGTAGTTCTGAAAATTCCGCTTGTTTTTCCAAAAAGTTGCTTTCCTCTGTAATAGTGAATTTTCCAAGTCAGACGTAGGCAATGAGCGTGCTGCAGGGAGGATTTTTGCCTGGCATTTTCTTTCTTCATCCCTCAGTCTACAGCCTGGGGACCTGGATGAACCATGCTTAGGTTCTTTCCAGTGCACACATTCCCAGTCTCTCCTGCCTGACAAGGGTAGAAGGGTTGCATTTAAATACTTAAATAAATGACCCCTTTCTCAGAAAGTGCTGATACCTGAACAATTTTAAGTTCTCATCAGTGAGCATTTCTAAGCGCCCAGGGCTTTTGAAAACTTATTTAGATAAGTCTGACAAGATGATAGAAGTAGCTGCCTTTTGTCACCCACTTTGGAAACTCGTGGCTAGGGTTAGAGCATTTATGAAGAAGCAGTTGATACAAGTTTTGGAGTACATGAATGAAGCCCATGAGATGAGTTTTCATGAGAGGAAAAAGTGTAAAGGAGAGCAAAATCCAAAGCAGTTTTTTCTTGGAAATTATTTCTGGTAATACAAACAGAAAAAAGGAATTTTCACAAGAGCCACAGGGTTTCCTTTGCTCCCAATCTCCAGGAACTGTAAAGCATTAATCCATTCAATATTCTTGGTTAGCTCAGGTAAGGAATTCCAAGTCACAAGTGTGAAGTCCTGTACAATTAGCCAGCACAAATTACCATGTGAATGTAAGAAAGCCCAGGACCTGTATTACAGAATTTTTCAGGTGTTTGAAACTTTCATCTCTTTTACCAGAAAGGAGTTTTACATTCCCTCAGAAAAGAAATTACAGTGGTTGGAAAGATAGTTGTATTGCTTTCCTGGGACCTTTTTTTGGTAGACGTGCTTCTGACAATTAACTTTAAGGTCTCCATAAATAAGGTGAAGTCTAATAAGTGAGGAGAATAAAACTACTGATTGGAGAAGGAAAGACAGCACAGAAAGACAACGGTGTTGAAATACCTAGCACTGAACAATAGTCTTGATATGAGTGACTTTTTAAAGCCATGCTGAATCTCCCTTTTGGAGAAGGTGAATGCTGATCCAGCAGAAGTACCATTATTTGATGAGGTTGCATGCATCAGAGGGGACAGAAGGTAGATGGATATTCTTGTAAGATGGAGCTAATCTGCACTGTAGTTTAGCATCAGCTAAGAAGGATTTTTAAATATAAGAATTTTAATTGTATCCTTTTATTTGTTAAGTAACACCTGGATTGTTCCTATTTCTTGGATGAGAAATGGATCATCACAACCCTTAACCTGGCTAGATAAAAGCAGCAGTAAGTAATGTATTTGTTTGCATATTCTAAAACCAAACTGATGAGAACACTCAAAAGTCTTTTTGAAAAAAAGAGGATATATTTGAATTGAATAGGGAGATAAAACTTTAATACAGAATGTCTCTGTTTATCCATAGCAATGATTTTGTGTTAAAAAATAGTGGTAGATTTTCAATTATGTCAATATAAGGTCCTTTGTTTAATCAAACTTCAGTGTAAGCTTGAGTTTTTAATAATACAGTACAACACATTTTATGAGTAGAGATTTCCACAGAAATTATGATTTTATAATATTTTACACAAATCCAAACTTCTAGGTCCTCATGCTTTTGTAATATTCTTCCCCCAGCAGATCTCATTGATGTTAATGACAGCTTTTGAATATAGACAGAATCCCAGCTGTGAAATACCAGAAAATTATCAGCTCGTGTAGTAGACAGAAGACTGAAAAAATTAACACTGGCTGTGGGAAGTGACCCAAATATTGTTGCACATTAATGTCTGTAATAACAGAAAATTAATGTTTTCAACAAGCATTTAATTTGTTTATGCAAATTAAATCAAAATTTATCAAAATAATAGGATTTTTAAAGCCTTATAATAGATTACATGGGCATCTCTAAATTACAAAATCAGTTCTTTTGAACTCAGTGCTTTCCAATAGCTTTTCTTTTTTTTTTTTTCTTTTTTTTTTTTTTTTTTGAGAAAGAAGAAGTATGATCATTAGAATGGGGTAATCAGTTTGCTTTGGCAAGTCAGGCATGCATCAGGTTTTAGAGGAGCCAAAAGAAGATGCAGAGACTAATGCAGTGGAATGTGTGTATTGCAGCTCTACACCCGGTTTGCTGGAATTAAAAGTTACTTCCTCTATTTTTTAGGGAGTAAGCTATCAAGTAAGATAGCTTGAGTGACCATTAATTTGACTGTATACAGACAGGTAAATAAAAAAAAAATGCATGTATATTCCTCTGGACACAGGATGAATCTTGCACTACTTGCTCTCTCTAAACACTGGAGTCTGAGTCCTCTGTTCCGAGTAAAGCTCTGAGGGGTGTAGACTACTCACCAGTATTGACTTACTGTCTTAGCAGAGTTTGCCTTCTCAAATCAGGATGTGAAAACAGAACACTCTTCTGATGAGGCAGCATAGAGCCTTCAGGGCTGCACTGGCTCCTTCAAAGCACAGTATGCTCTCAGGAGCAGTCAATCAGGCAAGAAAGTACAGGTGGTGAGATGGACTGCAGGAGGAAGCTGTTAGTGAGTGATGTGTTAGTGAGTGATGTGACTCAAAAGGACTACAGGACTATCTTCTTTAAAATAAGCATTTTCGATTACCTGTCTCTTGGTTAAACTTAACAGGATTGTTGTTTTTTTTTTTCTTGATCTGTGTTTATCTGAATACTGGTAGGTGGTCAGTTCTTCTGTGAGGTGCTGAGCACTGTGTTTTGGAGGTGGGAGCAGCAGGTGTGCTGTCAGTCCGTGCTCTACAACAGGCGTGGGAGGATGTTGCTCCTCACCCTGAGAGTTTACTGTTGAGTAAACTTCCTGAACTCTCACAGCTGCCTTTGAGCTAAAGGGCTAGAGCAAAGTGGGTCTTCAGCCTACTCCTTGGAATCCCAAGGTGCTCAGTACCTGAGGAATCATTGGCTTGTGAAGTCATCCTGCTGGGCAGAGCAGAGATCTCAAGTCCACTGAGCTTTTGAGGGATTCTTTTTGAGTCCAGCCTAAATTTGTGTCTCATATCTCAGAGGAACATCAAGTCCATTGTTTGTAAATTCAGAAGAAGAAGTGCATGGAAAACAAAATGATACATTCTAATGTCACTTTTCAGAAATGTTTCCTGAAATGCAAGTATCAGAGTCAGACTATGACTGGATCTTGATAAATGTAAATTTAAGTGGATACTACAGAGTGAACTATGACCAATTAAACTTGAAGAGATTAGCACACTTGCTTGAAAATGATCCTAAGGTAAGATCATGTTTATTTTCTCAAGCTTATGAGCAGACTCTTTCTGTAGATTTTTTCATGCAGTTTTTTACCTGGAATCACATTGATGAAAACCTGGAATAATGACAAACTCACCATTGCACCACTAGCCACTGGCTTTTTGTAGTGGAAGGTGACAGGCTTGAACTGTTCCACATAAGCATGAAAAACAACTTTACATTACATTTTGTCTTCATATTTGTGTTACTAGCTTGTGGCTCTTCTGCTCTCTTTAAATCTCTCTCAAGGAGCTTTCAGTATGAATGCAGGATTTGAGCCTTAGCTGGTACAAAGTAATGATGAAGAAGGAAAATTGTGAGAAAGTTTATTTCCTTTTTTTGTCAAACCATAATGTTTCTGCCTGTGGAGTTAAAAAAAACACAACCTGACTTTTTTTTTTTGTGGGTTTTTTGGTTGGTTGGATTTCTTTCTTTGTTTTTTTTTTTGGTTTAGGATTTTTGTGGATAATTTTCCTAGAAGTTTCAATCTATTCTATTTGAGCTCTTTCAGTCCTCTGTAGATACTGACTTAGAATAGATTTCATCCCACCTTTGATTTGCCATAGCCTGAAGGTGAAGGTGAAAGTGGTACAGAACAAATGTGACTCCATATGGGGTTGCATAGTTTCAGTATTGCCTAATCCTACAGTGAGCCAGAGGCTGCAGTAGTAGTGTCTGCTCATTCATTTTAGTAACAAAAGTGAGCAAATTTAACCTTTTGACCTAATAGTATACAGTACAATCTTCCTCTAGAGAGTCTGGACACAAGGCTGACCAGAGCATATTAAACCTTCCTACAGCACAGTGGCTTCATTTCTTCTAGGCTTCTTTCTTTCAGAGCAGATCTACATCTTCAAGACATTGGGTGTGTGCTGACTTGGGGCCATTTTTTGGCACCTTACAGGGTTGCAAAAATGTAACTCTGGGCCAGACAGGAGGTGCAGAAGTCGTCTATTACGTATAGGTTTGGTCACATTCAAACAAGACAGGTTCACAAGTACCATGGGTTATTAAAGACAACAAAGGAGTTATTTTGGATTGATGGTGACAAGTGCATTAACTGCAGAACAGCTGTGGATAGCACTAACAATAGGGCTGCAATCACAAGCCTAATTTCTTGAGTGAAAGCATTCATCATGGCCAAGGACACAAGTCTTACCATAAGGCATCCGTTCTGGGAAGGGTGAGGAGGACAGACACATCGTTCTGTGCCTCCAATTTTGTGTCAAATTCTCACAATCCCCAGTCATGTACAAAATAAGGGTGCATTCTGTGCCTTATTAACCACAGTTGTGCAAAGTGCCTTGGGTGGTGCTGTGGTCAAACTGTCTGTTCTTTGCTGTTATGCTTCCTAGTGGGAAGTGTTCTCTGTAGCCGTTGTGCAAAACTGTCTGTTCCTCCTAGTCATGCTATATTTAATATTTCTTGGTATCGAGAGGTGGAACAAGAACACATGGCTTCCACCCAGCCTCACATTCCTGCCTGGCAGGTGTCACCCCAAGACACCTGACCTCTGTCTGCTTCCAGCATTTCTGCCCTGCATTATGCTTCCAGCTGTCAGAGGGAACGTTTGCTCAGGCAGTGACCAAACTGCGGGGGGCATGGGACAGGAAGGAGACATGGAGAAAAGCAGTCCTGTCACAAGAACATGAGATACACGCATGCAAGCAGAGATACACCCATGGCTGTGCCTTAGTAATTTATTTCATAGTAGTGATAGACACGCTGCTCTGCACTGAGTGCAGATTCTGTATTTAAAACTCAAAAGGAAAAAATGCACCAAAATTGTGTAACTAGGATATTTTTAAGAAATGTAATGTTTCCATGTTTTAATTTCAATTACAGCATGCAAGTAAGAGGGGTCTTTAAATTCTCTGGTTAATGGTCTGTAGTTATATGTCTATATACAACGTAATATATAATTATATTATATAGCTCTGTGTATAGCACATATCTCTTAAAGCACATAAATAATTTCAGTTTAAAATTCAGGATCCATTTCTCAGTGTTTTGTAGGCTGTTTTGATTTAGAAAACCTGTTAGGGATCCCTCTGATACATCATAAAGCTTTTTGCAAAATCTTAATGACATGTTGAAATTGACTAACACAACATGAATGCTTTCTGCAGGCTATTCCCACTGTCAGCAGGTTCCAGCTGATAGATGATGTTTTTGCATTGACAGAGTAAGTATGTTTCCAATATGTTACAGAAATTGATTAAAAAATATGATTGCACTCAAGATTTCTACTTCTGCTTCCTTCATTCCTACCCATGTGAGCCTCCCAAGAATAACTGATTTGACAAAATGGTGGGGGAGTTATTTAATCCCTTCTTTTCTCAGTGCTGAGTGATTTACTTCAAAATTTATTTTGTTGCAGCTCCAAGGAAATGATTTTAAATAGTTGCATTGCCATGAGTTCTTTAGGGATTGACCTGTGTTTAACAGAAAAAGTATTCCAAATGAAGATTCTGGATCTTCCTTCATGGGCTGTCTCAGCTGTACTGTACTGCATCACTCAAAACCTCTTTAATTTCTCTTGCTGAGTCATAACTTGTTGTTCAGGTCTGTGGTGCTAAAGAGGTCAGCAGTGTCATAGGGAGCTGAAATTAAGTGTGATTGAGTGTCTGTACCTCACGTGTGCCAGAGGTACCAAAAACATCAGACACTGATGAGGGTGTCCCTACGATGAAGGGCCTCAGGGATGAGGTGGCCAAAGCCCACTGTCCTTCTTCAGGGCCTGTGGAAGTACTTCTGACAGGAGAAGTAAAAATTCCTATTTCTCCTCCCATAAGAATGTCCTTTTCCATAAGAGAGCTCAAAAGTAGTTGATAACAAGGAGTGTAACTGTGAAGTATGCAACTGCACTGCTATATAAGTACACCAAAATTTTTTTTTTTTTTTTTTTTTTTTTTTTTTTTCTGGAGGGGAGAGGCTTGAATTGGAATTTTTTTGGTGAAAAAGTTAATTCCATGCTTGTTACACATTGAGGGACAGAAATGCCATGCTGAAATAGTTAATTCCACAAATAGTGTGCATGTTAATGAAATGGTTTCATTTTTACGATATTCCACAAAAGAACATGTAATGAAAATAAGCTGTTTCACAATAAATATAAAGTTGTATTATAACTAAAACACTGCTTTTCTTCTTAATTTTGTTGCAATGAGACAGACACATGCTGTAAATATGTTTGTACTGTATCCTGCAGACACAAAAAGATGCAGTGTACATGCTGCCATGCTTACTGCCACGATTGGCCCATTGCTTTGCACAGCACAGTGCTCCTTAATAGATGTTTTGAGAGTTCAGCTCCTAAAATCACCATTCATTTATATTTCTTTTATTTTTCCAGTGCCTTTTCTAGGTTACTTTTCACACAGTATCCTGATGTTTTATTGCCTGTTCCATAAATAAACATATACTTGTGGTAGGTGGTTAATATGAATACGTATGCTAAAATGTGTGGGTTTTTTGTTTTGTTTTCGGGTTTTTTTTACATAGCTTTGGATATGTTCCAATTGAAACAGCACTTGAACTAACGAAATACCTTGCCAGAGAGGATGAACTCTTCATATGGAATGTGGTATTGTTAAACCTTATACCTGAGAATTTGGAAAGTACACTGAAGAACCATGAAGTATATCCACTTTTAAAGGTATGACCATTTTGTTAGTTACCAAAGACATTAGACCATGCAAATACATTAATCTCAAATTAATGCTTTTTTAAATTCTCAAGGATGTAGTGGTGGCTATGATGAGTCAGAGAGCTTGTGATTCCCTTTGCATGACATTATACACTTTTGTTGTTTGTTTGGTTTTTTTTTTTAATAGGAGGAGGTACTTTATTATACATATTAGTCAATGATAAGTCTCATTAAATCTTGAGCTGATTCTTATTCAAAAGCAGAAATACATTCGCAATCTTTACATTAAGCTTCATCCTTTGTTTTCTGAAATGGCAAATTTGGAAAACAGAACTATCAATCAGTAGTAAGTGAAGAGACCAACACTGCTATGTATAAAAGGCATATAGTATATTTGTGCTCTGTGGTTTGTATTGCTTTTCATCCACCTTCATGGAGTGAAAGAAGGAATAGTGTTTAGATACTAAATGAAATTATTCTCTCCCACATTTGACTTACCTGAAACACTACCATCATATTTATTTCCTTGACTTCTCTTTGAAGATTCCACTTATGTTTGAAGTACAGTCCCACAGTATTAGTTCTCTTAAGCTCTAAAAATAAAGGCATATTAAAATAAGTGAGAAGAACAAAGTAAGAAAACAAATATCCTATTGACAAGGGTTTTTTCCTGTTTCTCTGAGAATTTGTTGTCTTTCGTAATAAGTTCAAAGATCGTAGTGATGTGAAATGGTAATGTGACAGTTTGATTTGAAGTACAGGTATATTGAATTTTAGACCCTGTTTATATTTGATTTAATGTTCTTGTGTTTTCAAGACATTAATAGTCATAATTTTTTTAGGATAAATCTGAGTAAATAAGGAAATCAAAAACTTGTATCTAAATGAAAGTAATTTTTCTTTCCCTTCTTTTAAAAGAAATACCTTTTAAAGAGAATGTTGCCAATATACCATTATTATGCAGGTTTTATTCGTCAAAATGTTGATGCTTTGGAAGATGACTATTTTGCTCAGTAAGTATCCTGGTTTTCTTAAGAATTTTTTCTGGTATGATTGGATCTGGTAGATTGCAGTTTTCTCATGTAAATTTAAATACAAGATACAGGAATAATTCTCTAGCTAATGTGAATGTAACTGAATTGTTATTTTACTGTTCTGTAAGTGTGACACCTTTAATATTTCATTTTGCAAGGCCACTGCAGCCACAGGCTTAAACATCAGAGTAATTTGGTCTAGATGCAACCAGTACCTTAAAACTTCCAAGAGGGATATAAACCACACAAAAAACTTACACAAAATATAGTATATTGGTTGCCTCACTATATATCCACTCATATTAATTCTGGGGACCATCATTGTTTGTTTAATTATTTTATTAAAACTCAGTTGTTCCTAGTGGAGGTTTTCATAGGTTAATGGTATCATGTTCTGAAACTGTGGTGATCAGGCACAGTTCAAATATGCCAAATGTGGTATGCATATCTTTTATTCTTACTGTTTTAACTTCCCTTCAAGAGTGTATTTGGAAAAACTCTTGGCAACAGCATGCTGGCTGGGCCTCCAAGACTGCTTGGACCTGTCATCTGAACTGTATGCTAAGTGGAGGGACAACCCTGACTACAAGTAAGGATGGTGATCTCATCTTGCAGGTGTGCATGTCTAAGGGAGGTGGAAAGTTAAAAGGCTGTTACAAGGGGGAGGCAGAATAAGAAATGCCTCGGTACACTGCTCTTATTTCTTGACAGAATGGCAGAATTCAAGACAACTCTGTCTGCCCAACCTCCTCCTCTTCCCCAAATCCCAGCTTTATGATGATTTCATAATTGCTGCATTTACATAGACTTAACAGGCTGGAAGATGCAGGTTTTGCCATGAAGACCAAAGCTGGTTAGCCATGTAACGGGTGAGCCTCCTATGAGTGCTAATATCCCACTTATATGGGATATAATATAATATATGGCCAGTCCCTTTGCTGTAGTACATCCTTGGGGTGTCACATACACCAACTCAGCTTTTAAGCTTCTCCTAACCATACTGAGTGAGGAGACGTTTGTGTGATACAGCCATCTGCCCATGGTGAGCCCATCAAAGTGCCTTGCATGTTCTGTGTTCACATAAAGAGGTGTTGGGATCAGCTGTCAGTCCTTATGCTGGTACTGGAGCCTAGTGGTCAGGGGTCTGGTCTGTGAGAATGGACTCTGGACTCTACGTTTCTGTAGAGACCAGGAAGAGACTTTCTGTATTCAACCATTGCATCATTTAAAAAAATTTACAATGTATTGACATTCTTATTCTCTTTTCCTTCCTCTTTCTTTTGATGTCTTTCTATGCAATAGTCAAATAGTGTTGGCTCTGGTGAGTGAATATTTAAAGTTCAATTTTATTTTTTGTGGTTGTGATAAATATTTTGGTTTTATTTTATATATATTGATACATGTAGTTGGCTAAGTAAACTGAACTTGTACTATTATATTTGAGTTTTCTAAAATAGTTTCATAGTGACCATCCTAATAAAAGCCAAACTGAGTTTTGAAGTTAGACTGAAAAGTTTAAATAGACTACATAAATTTTGTTCCATTCTAGAGACTATTATTGCAATTCCACACTAAAAGCAACAGTGTTGTGCTGAATTGTCAGTCTCTTTTCAAAATACTCATCTTTCCCTACTAATAACATTTGAGATGATGGAATACTACATACCTTTGACTTGAATAGCTGAAAAGTCTGTGAAATATATTAGCTGATTTGGTCTTGAATTTGATTAAGACTATTAATTTTGCTGCCGTTCTTGGCACTGAGAAAAGTTCAAGTGGATTTTACTGGGCTTTGTATGTGGAAAAAATAAAACTCTGAATTTGGTTAAGTGAAAAAAAATGATAATGTTTTAAGGAGAAAACCCCAGAGAAGACAGAACACTTAGGTTTCAAGTGACAGATCACTGTTCCCAAGCAGTTAATGAAGAGACTTCACATGTGCTGGGAAGGAAACAGGCACAATACACTTTTGACCCATATTTCACAGACAAATCCCTTTAGATGCTCTTATGTTCTCCATGCTGAGAGCAAATTCATAACAGCTGTTTTGCCACAGGTGGAACCCAGAAGAATTCTCACATCTGTGGAACGAAGTAATACATTTCTGTTTCAGATTGGGTGATCAACTTTCAGCCGAACATTTCCAAAGTGTCCCTGGCAGAACATAGCTGGACTTAATACAGTGCATTTTTATCTGTTTCATGGAAATAACTAGAGCTGTAATCCCCAGCCACTTTTTCAGTTTTACTCTTTTTTCACTATAGGAGTGTACTGAAGCTTGCTAAATTAATGTATTATCTTAGATGCTGTTACTGGCTTGTCTTTTGAAATCAGGAAACTAGCCTTGGGGGAGGGACAGTAGTTCCGTCCATTTTACTTTTTTACTGAAGGTTCACATATACTGCTGCTACTCTCAAAAGTTAAGAAATCACCATGTTATTTCTGGATTGATTCCAAAAAAACAATGTAAAACAATCTGCCCTGCTTTCCAGCAGCTTTTTGCATCTTCCCCAAGATACAGAAATGAGGGATCCTGGCAGGCCAGTAACGTCAAATCACACAACCAGGAAAAACATCAAGATTAATAAGTTACACCCCTCACTTAATATAACCTCAAGCTCCAAAGTCCCTTTTTGGACCATACTGGACACCCTGTGGGACCAGCACAACATAAACCACTCTGGGGCCACCATTAGGTGTCACCAGCCAGCAAACCATTGTGCCATAGTAGGCTGCCTGTCCAGCCTGCCTCGAATGTTGTACATCAGAGCTGCAGCCAAATGCCACATAGAACTTGTCTACTCACACACAACTTTACGCTTATTAATGAACATTTTCTTGCAACTACTGGAGCAACTTCAGTAGCAAAATAAATAGCTGTACTTTGGCCAACATAGCTTTACCCTGTTGTCACCTTACTGACCTCTTACTGCAACATTATGAAAAGATTATTAAACAAATTACTAGACCCTGTAACTCAGATCTGTTAGAGAAGGATTCCTCACAGGGCAATAATTCAGCCTGACATAACTACTCTACATGTCATTCTTGGTGGTAAATCCCTTATGTCCCAGAAAATATCTAGGTAAATGAATCCAATCTATTTTTCAAAGTAAATGTAGAACATGCCCATGCTCTCTGTTAGTATGACAGAAACCCCACATCTGCAACAGAACTACCAAAATTATTGCATCTTGCCTTTTCACTAACACGTGATGTCTGTCATGTAAAACATCCAACTCTCTTGCTCTTTCCTACTAGTCCTTTGTTTCCAAAATTTTAACTGCCTTTTCTCTACCTTGTACTCTAAAAATTGATGTCATATATCCTTCCTCCTGACTCACTAACTCTGTTGGCATCATCCTCATTTTCTCTAGAATAATCTGCTGAAATTTAGGAATTTTTCTCAAATTTAAATGTGAATTTGCTGTTTCCAGTTTTGGGCCGGACAAATGGCTTTTCTGACCAGAAACTTATCTGCTTTTCTAAGTGTATCCCCTGATCAAAGGGAATGTAATTTTTACACCTTGACTTACAATCTTGACTTAATGCAATAATAAGCAGACTAACAGTATGAGATAGGGAAGTCAAATGTTTTGCTGATAGCAATGGGACCCATTCTTCTGTAGGGAATTAGTCCAAAATACCATCAGTTGAAACTGCTTTCAGATAACCTGCATAGTAGAATACTACTCTAATTGAAAATTGTTTACAATGTCTTAATGTCAGGGACAAATAATTGCTACAGAAAAAAATTCCTGTTCGGCCTTTGCATATGGAGCATTATACTGGTAATGTTTGTATTTAGTTTCTGCTATGAAATTCATTGCCCTGTTGAGGCCTCTTCCCTGGGGTGGGAGTAATAGGAGGCTGCCTGTTGCATGAAAAAATGTCCCTTCTGTTTCCTTCTGTGCTGCAAATTGCTTTTCCTACTGGGTGCATTCACTGAAGGAACTTAGAAAAGGCTTGTCTGGGATGATGCACATATGCATTAGTGCACTTTTTAGAGGCGTGATCCATTTCCTAGGCTGTGATGGGGAACAGTGCCATTGACACTATATGTGTACAAAAATACTCTGGTTCAATTGCTCCAAAAACTTGGGGTTTTTTGTTTCCTTTAAAATGCATGCTTTTTAAATGCTTAAATAATAAATAAAACAAACAGGTTTCCTATCCTTATTTACACTACTATTTTGTACTTGCATTCTTGTGTATCTTCTAACTGTAAATAAACATTTTGTTTCAGTTATGCATTAACAACAGTGTTTGTCTCTACAACAATACAGTACATTTGGATTGTATTTTGCCTTGCAGAATCCCCTTTCTAATTAGAAGAACAGTCTGCTGCTATGGTGTTGCAGTGGGAAGTGATAAAGAATGGAATTTTGCATGGGAAATGTACAATCATACCGACTCCACTGAGGAAGATGAAGACATCCTTCTCTATGCCATGAGCTGTGCCAAAGAGTCATGGTTACTTTACAGGTGAGTGACCTTGATCAAAGTATATCTTTGTGTATGTAGAAGTAAATAATAAGAATAAAAATACTTTACTGTGCAAAGGTGGTAGAGGTTTGCTTGCCACAGAAGCATGTGTCTTGTCAACCACTGGTAAAGTTTTAGAGAGTTTTGTTATGGAGCAAGTATGAAAAATGGGACAAACACAAATAAACAATCCTTCTGCAAATACAACATGTGGGTCGTCAGGTCTTAAGTTCTGACTCCATGTGGGCCAACCAAAAAGTTAAGACATATGAAAGAGTCTTGTCCAAAAATTTCCAGAACATAGTTTGGAGCACTGTGTTTATTTTCTTTTACTGGAATTTGTATCTTTGTCAGTAAAATGATGTTGAATTCTCTATCAGTTATGTTTGTAGTACCTAAAGCATTTGTTAAGGGATGGAATTTCGGCAGTGATGGTGTAAAGAATTATCATCCAAACATTTACATAAACTCCATGGGTCTGAAGGTATGGAAGTAACACTTTAGTCCTTCCAGCCACCTGCTCTAATGTGGTGGTCATTTGGGAAGACAAAAAATATAACTGAGAATAAGACAAGAAATGTTGCAAAGAGATGCCCAACCAGCTATACTTATTTCCCACTTGACCTATGATCCTATGGCCTTTTTCTTGGAACAGGCTAGTACCATTCCCTGATAAATCAGGGAGTTGATGAGCTTCTTCCTCCATGTACTTCAGCTGCTGACAAACCAATCTGTTTTTTTGAAATGCCACCCAGGGAGTGTTTTGGGGTGAAGAATGCTAAGATATGCTTTCCCTGGCCCTCAAAATTATGTCCATTATGTTAAACACAGGGCATGCAAAAGGGAGAAACCCAACTCTACCCATAAAGCAGCTGCCTGCAACACCCTATGAGAAAATAACTCTAAAAGGGTTCATTTGGAAGTAGGAGCATGCAAGGTAAAACACTGAGGCAACACAGAGAATAATTACTTTTCAAGATGTTCAGGCATTCACTGCCACTGACATAATTAGAAGACACTTCTGAAATCCTGCTTTAGTCCTCATAAAAATTTTCTAATTGAGTCTCACTGTAGGGGACCCTATAAACGAATAGTTTTTTTGTAAAAGTGTCTCACTGGCATACTCTGTAGGCTCCATCTGAGTCACAGTGAAGTGAATTGCCTGAAGGTGAAGAGCAGTCTGCCTTTCCACAAGCTTGTCTGGTAGGAGCAGTTGTCTTTTTGGTGCCAAGATAAGAAACACATCTATGTCCCTTTGATATTCTACACCCTCACTTTACCAGAAGTAAAGAGTCCATGTGCAAGAACAAATGTTAAGGACAAAACCCGAGCTGAATACACAGCTCAGTGAAACCAACTTTGGTATAACCTTCCACCTGCTGATATTTGTTAAGGTAGGAATTTTTGTGAACTGGATTTTATTTCCAGATTGCAATATTGTATATTTCCATTTTAAAACAGCAAGTGACAGGTTCATTTCTTTCCTGCTTTTCTAACAGATACTTGCAATATGGACTCAGTGACACATTATTTTCTTCCAATTGTACTTCAGTCATCATCTCACATGTAGTGACTAAAGATATTGGGCACCGTATAGCCTGGGAATTTGTTACAGAAAATTGGCCACTTTTAAGTCAAGGGTAAGCAATAAGTTTTGGTTTCTTTTAATTTCTGTGGCTCTTTGGCTTCTTCCTCTATGATTGAGCTGTAAAATTCAGGTGCAGATTTTCCTTCCAGGGATGGCTATCTGACTGATAATGACTGATTCAATTAAGTATGCAGAGCAGAGTTTTCAGAGGATTCAACTCTGATCAGGGTTTAATGTCAAAGAATAGCACATCAAACATAGAAGACTTTAAAAATTAGTCTGTTCATGACTGTTTCTGTACTTTTAAGTACCCCTAAGAATCCTGACTCTAGAAGTGGGTTTATCCCCTAGGATTTTACAAGTGCAAATGCTGTAAATTGTGGGTGTGAAATGCTGAAGTAAAATCCTTATATGTAAATTATTGCTAACACTAGAAAAGGCAAGTTGTAGCAGATTTGTGTCACATCAATTTGCTCCCTTACAGTGCTTTTTTGTGTTCTAAATTTATGAGAAATTTGCTGGAAAATTGCCCCCTTATTTTCAAATGAAAAGAATAATGCAAGTGGTTTTTTTAATATGCTCAAAATAGCAACAGGAACACCAGCTTATTGGACACATTACTGGTTTTGAGTCTTTCTAGCTCAGTTTGGCTGTATTGCCTCAGAGAGATTATCTGTTTCATGCAAAGAATTCACATTACCAAAGTACAAATAACCAGATCTTTGTAGGAAATTAAAGTGAAGGGTAATTATTGTATTTCATACAGCTCAAATGTCTAAATTGAATATTAATGGTAGTTCTTTAAAAGAGGGAAAATAGTCCATAGTCCAAACTTCAGCTTAGTCGGTATTCACAACACAGTAAATAATCAATGAATAGTGTATTTTCAAATGAGATGAAATTTAGTATATTTGTTAATGTGCTATTTGAAGGACCTTTATCTCAATTTTACAGATATGGGCATGAATTATTGCATGATGTACTAAAAGCCATGGGAAGATTTGTCAAAACAGATGTACAGATCCAAGAGGTAAATCAGAGAAGCATTTAGTCTCTACTTCATGCCCAGTTTGTAAATATAAGTTTTTGTTCATTAAAGGAATCATTGACCATAATATTGATGTCTTCCAAACCTTCATGTTTTGAGCAGAGTCCCCACAAATTCTATCAAAACTGTCTCATTTTCCTCTATGTAATCTGTCTGTAGAGACAACATGATATCTACTGAAAATGTACCAACAATTGGGCAGCTGGCCTGTTAGGTTGTCATACTGACATCTGTTTAATTCCTCATATTGTTCAGTCACTGCTTCCCCCAAACCTTTATTTACTATTCTTCACTCCTCTTTTGTCTTTTGCCTATTAGACTGATGAGAAAGATTTCTTGTTCTGTGATTGTAGAACAGGCAGCACAAGAGGATTCTTCTACCCAACTAGTCCTAGACAGTGTGGTACCACCAGTACCAGTGAAGTTGGCTGCATTTGAAAGGATTTTTAGAGGAACAGCAAAAGGGCACATTCTTGATGTGTAAGGAGCTTTCCCACGTTAGTGTAAATCAGTAACCTTGCCCCACCCCATCTTCAGTCTCTGTCATCTGCCCCTTTTCTGTGCAGTTCTGTCTAAAGCATCTGTCAGGCACACAGTTGCTTGTTGCAAGTGAAGTTATGTGTGAACTAAGCTCATGTGTTTATTTCTTCAGTTGCAGGTTTTTTATAATGCTACTTTGGAAGAGGATGAGAGAGAGGCTATTACTATGCTACTGGAATCTGCAAAACTTGAAAATATTGAAAGGAGAAAACTATTAAACAGAATTGCCAGCTGGTTAGAGAAAAATGTAGATGATTGACTTGGAAAACAATTTCCAGTATATTATATGTGATTCACTATCATATTGGTATTCATTATAAGCTGTAATTAAAGGTAAAGCACAATTTTATGAGTCCTGTGGTTGTCTTCCCACTGGAAAATCTGGGTAAAATGATTCACAAAGAAATCAAGGATTTAGGAAAAGAAGTTATAAACATATTTTCATCTTGTATCTAAAATAATTTCCTCCTGAATGACGTTTTAGGGATGCATTGCTAATAATAATCTAACATATAGGTACAGTCTTGAATCCTTTGGGGGTTTTCTTCTGAATATTCAAATGAAAGGTGTGCTGCATATTTGCGGCAAAAAAACATAAGGAAGCTGAAAAAGTTTGTATTCTATTTTGTTTCATTTGTACAGTGATCTATAACTTGTTTCCACTTCTGTGTTTCTAAATTGCAAAGAGGACAATAATTTCTAACAGTTCTGTAAAACATAAGCTTCAGAATTACTTCAGACCTGTAGGGAGGAAAGGACTACAGAATCCTCAAATGGTAATTTTAATCAAGAAATTAATGCCTTTTTATTTCAACTTTGCTTTTTTCTCAGCAGATCTGTACTTAATGTGTCTACATTTTTGTTTGATTAGGAACTGCTTTTGAAGAGATTCTACTGGTCATCTCTATTTAGCATGCTTCAGCCCCCAGAATAGTCTTGGAGTGTGTGAACTGGTTTATCTTTGGATAAAATTTATCTAGGGGATGATGTATGTGACATTTGAGAGTCATTTTGTCCATGGCACTAATGTGCAAAGTCTTGTCTAAGCTAACTCTTCTGGAACATCACTGTTCTAATTGCACTGAGGTGCTCACTGATCATGGAATCGCTCGAATATGCTGAGTTAGAAGGGACCCATCGGAATCATAGACTCCAACTCCTCCGTAGATACAAGGTTAGTTACCTTGATTACACAGCACTTTGGAGGTGACAGGAAGAATTCAGCCCATTAGTATTAGCAAACCATATTAACTTGTGCTTAAAAAACACCCATGGGATCTTCAGTGCATGAAAATAATTTATTTGTAGGGTAACAGTATTGTGACAAAATTACAGTACAGGTGATCAGTTAACATGTTATAGATCAGGAAACACTGTTACATGGGAATGCAGGATACAAAATAAATTAGAATACTGATCTATGAAAAGACAAGAATAAGCTCCAGACATGTTAATACAAAGGATTTTTCATTGACGCCCTCTAAACACATTTAGGAAAAATGCTGCCATGATGACTGCACTGAATTACCTCTGCTCTCCATGGCTGCAAAGAAAACTTCAAACTATTTTGAGACTGCCTGAGACACCCTTTACTGTGTGGGAGTTACCCATATGGACAACACAAGTTTGTGCTGAAAACAATTGACCTCTTAGCATTTGATCTAGTTAAGGATAATACCAAAGAAAATTGCATGTATTCTTGCAAGTCTTCTTCAACTTGACTGAGAAAGCAGGGGAAGTTGTCAAGGCTGTGGTGAACTACAGAGGTTTTATCATAGAATCTTTAGGATGGTTTGTAAGGAACCTTAAAGATGATGTAGTGTCCTGCCATGGGACACCTTCCACCAGATTGGGTTGTTCAAAGCCTGGCCTGGCCCTGCAGGGATGGGAAGTTCCGCCTTCCTGGGGAACCTGTGCCAGTACTGAAGCTGTTTTGCTGTGATTTCCACTAGTTAATCACTGGCACCATATGTCTCATCATGTGTGTTAAGCAAAGCTCAAGAAACATCCCATAACTTCAGTGTACGCCTAGCAGGTTCAAACTATTTCTCTCCAACCATGCAACCACGCTGCCTTTCTAACCAATCTTTCATGCTTTTGTCACTTTTTTCTTCATCCTACTGAACAAAACTTTTAATTTGAACCATCAATGTGTAAAAACTACTAGAATAATTTAAAATAAGAAGCTATTTTTAAAAAATGGCTGCTGACTAAAGTCTGACTCCCAGTGACAATCTATTTCAGAATTTCAGCACAGTTTTCATGGCAGAGGCAGAATAGTGAAGGTGATTGATAGGTAAGCTGTCTGAGTAGGAGCAGATCTGAGTCACTTTCAAAATCCACACATTTGCACATGGTGGCATGTATCAGTGTCAGCTCTTGCTGCTGTTGAGTACAAGCTGTGTGCAGAGGTTTGGAGTGACAACTGAGAAATACAGTAAGGGAAGAAGAGGTGCATGGGAGGAAACCGGGAAAAGTTGGGGAACCTGCTTTATTGCAGAGAGAATTGGAGTGAAAGAAAGTTCATTGGAAATGAATAGGAGGACATCAGGAAAGGAGCTTTAATAGTACTTTTGCAGACTGTGTAGGTGTTATGGAGCATGTAATTGTGCAGGTGTGCACGTATGGAGAAATTTAAAATAAAAATAGCCGTGTGTCATTGATAGATAGGATGTATTCAGTAGGCCCTGAGTGAGGGAAAGAAGTAGATATGATGTGAAGAGACTGGCTTTTTGCTTTAAGTCCTGCTTTCTGCCTTGAGAGTGAGTAAGTCATAAAGTTACACTTATTCTGCCCATACTATATGTATGTGTGACAGGGGAGCAGACTTGTGAGATGGCAAGAATACACACCAAGCCAAACAGAGAGGGAGACTTCAGAGCTGCTTAAGCCAAGGTTCAAGAGCACCAGCCTACTTCTTCTCTGCACCTCCTGGCACAGTTGTCTTGCTTCGCCACTGGTGGCTGTGCCCCCTTTCCCTCCTGGCACCTCAAGAAACCTCCCAGGCAAGCGAGGAGGAGGCAGCTGGTTGTGGGACCTGGGTGGCCAAGGCACAAACCCCACGCCATCTGGCTGCACTGATGGCACATTGATGGGATGGGTGTAGCAGCCTGCGGCTTGTTTCAGGGTAAAACACAGTAAAAGGGGATGTAGGCTAAAATGCTAAAAAATGAACTGAGTTCATGTGGCCTTGCCACATTCCTGCTGTGCAGTGACTCACAAAAGATAAAAAGAGATATAATCTCTGCATCCCCTGGCTCAGAGGTGCAGGGGCTCCTCCAGAGCCTAGTGTGATATATGGACCCAGCCTCTTGGCCAAACTAATGGTACTTTGGTTCAGACACCAAAGGAAGCAAAGGTCTAGACCACAACCAGGTTAAAACTTCTTTAGTTCCAACTTGTTCTCTGGTAGCCTATGCAGGAAACCAGTGGCATGGTAAGCATTAATGCTATAAACTTGGAAACTGCAACTGGAACTACGTGATTAACACAGGAACAGCAGACTCATTTGTCAAGGAACAAAGGGGGTTGTGGGTACCAGGAGTCTCACCTTCACCTTTTCCATCACTTGTAATTTGACTGTGAGCCAACTGCTTTATCCCGTAAATAAGACAGCCTACGTGAGCCTTCTCTGAGCTCTCTGCCTGCTCTCTTCTGTTTGCCTTGTTATACATACTAAGTAAAGAACTGTTATCCCTATCCTCATCTCTTTGCCTGAGAGCCTCTTAATTTCAAAATTAGAACAATTTGGAGGGCTGGGGTTTACATTCTCCATTCCAAGGGAGACTCCTGCAGACACCTGTTTTTCAATCCAAGGCAATCGGTAAGTGAGCAACATCATGCATAACCTTGTATCATAGTGCACTAAGACTGTGCATTGGTAATTTTGAATCATTACTGTATTTTCTATGCAGTAAATAACAGAATGAACCTATTGTTAAACAACATTTGATAAGTTTCAGGGTGTCTTACTTCAGTAAAACCACTGTCACTGCTATGGTTCTTTAAGTTGCAGAAATCTTCCCTGCGTCAGAGGGGCTGTGGGCTCTGGTCTTTGGGGGGTCACTATCTGTCATTCTTTGTGATGGGATGAGACAAGGACCTGAGTAGGCAGAGGGGGAGACTGACTTTGGCTGGCTGTGGGATACCCATTGTGATGAACACATTGGAAGAACATGAGATGAAAAAGCACGTGTTGAGAGAAATACAGGGAGATCATTTACTGCCTATCATCAGGGTCACGCTGTAGTTAAGGAATGGCACTCCCCAATTTAGTGCTCCCACTGAGATTCCAAACCATGTGCTGCCTGCTTACTCCCTCCTTCCTCCTCCCTCTGCAACTTGATGGAGAGGAGGCACAAGAGGCAAGTATTACAGGTTGAGATATGAACAATGGACTGCAAACAGGAATGAGATATGAAAACTACAGTAACAGGAACAATACTAATGACTGACAGTACAAGAAAGAAGCAAAGATTCACATAGAAACAATACCTGACCCATCCTTCCACTGGCCCCGGAAGGGACCTCTTCAGAAAAGACCCACTTCCAAGTGGGAAATAAGAAAAGCCTTATGGAATAAGGACCCTTGTCACCTTTGTTAAATCCTGTTCACTTCTGTTCACTTTTGTTCACCAGAACGCACTCTGGGAAGAGTTTAGCTGTGGGTAAAGGTAAAGGCCTTGTCGAGCCTCTAAAGGGGGGAAATGATGCCTTAAGTTTTAGCTTTCATGTCTTTCAGATTCTGTGTTGCTTTACTATGTAGCTCTGAGTTTCATGTTAAGTGTTGGCAAGTTCTCTTCACGGGGTACGTAGACAGAACAATCCTCTTCCTTGAGACCAAGGACAACTGGTACAAGCTTCAAGCCCAAAGAGTATAAACAACGGTGAATTGAAAAGAGAAAAACAAGGAGAATGGAACTTCATAACCTGGTGCTGTAACTGGACAATTAGCTCCATTATGCAGATGAACCAAAACTTATAAATCTGTGAGACCTCATTACTGGTCGTTGATTTTGTAAATATTTTGGGTTGGTCTTGGCTGTAACCCTGGCCAGACTCTTGTACTGCCCAAGGTGTATCCATTAAGGCCTTTTAGTAAATGCCTACTTTATTCTTTAACTCTGTCTAACCTCTGTTCTAGGTCAGACTTATCACAGCATCAGGATGAGTGGGTTGATAGTCACCTCCTGTGTGAGGCAGCGATCAGTTTGGAAGACATGTGGACATGACGTGATCAGAGAGTGTTGTGGTGTGTTTTTATCCCCAATGGTTTGTTCCTTCGCCTCCCCCCACCCCCGCATTGTTGGTTTAGTTTGAGTTGCATCCTCCCACCTA